TGTGTGTGTGTGTGTGTGTGTGTGTGTGTGTGTGTGTGCGTGCGTGAGTGTGTGTCTAGATGGTGTCTGCCTAAGGGAAGATAATGGACAACGGGAAACCGAGTCAAGTGTATCGGCCCAAGCGGATCGGTGAATCCTCCCAGGTGTGTATGTGTTTGACTGAGCCAGAGTCAGACTTTGAAACAAATAAACACAAACAAGAAGGAAGCAGCTTCTTTACAGTAGAGATCAATGTGTATTTATATAGCCCAATATCACAAATGTTACATTTGTCTCAGTGATGTTCACAGTTTGTACAGAATATCAGTATGACAATACCCTCTGTCCTTAGACCCTCACATTGTACAAGGAAACACTTCCAGAGAAAACCCACAGTTTAAAGGGGAACATGGGAGAAACCTCAGGGAGAGCAACAGAGGAGGGATCCCTCTCCCAGGACGGACAGACGTGCAATAGATGCTGTGTGTAAATCGAAAAGATAATACATTTACAAGGTAGACCAAATGTTTGGAAATGCATGTGTGTATAATAGGAAGATGAATCCACGAGGATGTCAACAATCCTGTGGGAGCCATCAGGGAAGTAGTATGGTGAGAGTCTGGCAAGACCGCAGAGACTGGTTCAGCCACGACTCGAAGTCCAGGACTCAGATCCAGTGCTCAGGATAGAGGATCCAGGACACACGACCACAGCAACAGGATCGGCCTCGACTCAGGATCCCGGCGTAGATATAGACACCAAAAAGACATTTGGGGGAAGCTGGTTTAATCGGAACATGAGAGTACACAGGTACAAACAGACAGAAAGAAGAAGCAAGGCGTCCCCCGACAGTCCGAGCCTATAGAAGCTAAAGTTTAACCAACGTGTCTACGTACATGCACTCCCTTAGGATAGGTTGAGGGAAAAGGGTTAGCAAGTAAGAAGTAAGAAACACAGGTGGAGAGGCACACACAGGGAGAGAGGTCCCCACTGGAGCCTTAATTGGAATTGGTGAGAGGTGAGGAGGTACGCTGTGAATACGGTCTAAACACTCCCCGGCCGGAATAGGCCTCTCTGCAACCTGTTACATAATAGAACCTCGAGAGGTCAGAGAGGGGAAAGGTTTGGATAAAGAGAAAGTAGAATAAATAGATTACAGGAGAAGAGAGTATGAGAAGTAGAGAGATAATAGATTTAGAAGAATGAGAAGTAGTAATAACCTTAGTTTTAAATATAAGATCAAAGCTTTTAGGATTTAAGTGAAAGAGCAAGAACCAAAATGTAGGTGAAGAGGCACATAGTGCCTCAGTGACGCGTCCTAAAACCCGGAAGTAAGTTAGTATTTTACCACTTCCGGTTCCTTCGACAAAAACCAATGCAATTTCTCCATAGGATCTTGGAAAATATGATCAGATCATAAATCTAATCGATAGATTTACGATTCGAAAAGGATAAAAGTAAGGAAGGAGTTTACTTCCGGGTTTTAGGACGCGTCACTGTGGCACTCTATTGCCACATATAGCCAATAATGATCGGCATCTTCTCAGGGTAACTTTAATGCCTTTTTGTAGAATTGTCGTCTTATTTTAGAGTATTTCCAAATATTCTTTCAGATGGCAAATATTATTTCTTTAAATGTTATTTTTACATACAGCAAGGACGAACAGAAAAATTGTAATGAGTAACATTTGCGCACACTTTCTACACTGCTGAACTGAACCTTCCACCCACAATAAGTGTGTGTACTGTCTAAGACCTTAACCTGTGTGTTGCAGGTGTTCTGCTGCGGGGACCAGGCGGGGGGGGTGCTGCGGGGCCTCAGCCAGCAGCGGCAGCAGCACCAGCTGTGTGACGTGGTGCTGCTGGCCGACAGCAGGCGGCTCCCGGCCCACCGGGCCCTGCTGGCCCTCTCCAGCCCTTACTTCCACGCCATGTTCACCCTGGGCATGAGGGAGAAACGCCAGGAAGAGGTACATGTAGTGAGGCAAAGAACAGATTATACTACGGGTATTTGATGATTTGAACAGAAGCCTTTGTTTCCTTTTGTCTTCCTTCCACATTCTGTTTCCTTTTTATTTTTCTAGAACTGCATTCCTCTCATTTTCATCTACGTTTACTTATAAAGATCTATAGACTAGGTTAATCATATTCTTTTAATGTCAAGATAACTCATTGTCGGTCAGGATCTATGCTGTCAATAATGGGTGTAGTATCTATAGTATCTACATCTGGGTTCTCTAAGGCAGGGGTTCCCAACCCCCGGTGTTACTGACGGGCCGCGAAATAGCTGTGAGTTTATCGTAATATTTGCAGAATTATAAATATATACAAATATTTTATCAAAAGAAAATTCAATTTTGTTTTTATTTTCGCACCTATACCAGTCATTATTTCATCCAAAACATACAAAATAAATCAAAATTGGTTAGCATAAGGTCTCAGCCTCTCGTGCGCAGAGAAAGTTACCGGTGTGCCAATAGGAAGTGGAGCACACCGGAGACAACTTCCTACATACAATTAGCCACTGTTGCCATCTATATTTTATTATATAATATTAAATTAATATTTGTAAAGCGGTCCTAATTTTTTGTTTTAATTGTATCCTGGTTTTAAACGTTGTTAATATGTTTTGGATGCATATTGGTATTTCTTCAGGCTGTTAAATATTAACCTCTGTTGCCACCTGCTTGTGAGTAAATATTCAAATCAGTTAAAATTGACAACCGGTCCGCAAATAGTTTTTAATATATCTGCCGGTCCTTGGCACAATAAAGGTTGGGAACCCCTGCTCTAAGGTACCTTTAACCCAAAACTTTAACAACACAGGTTTATTCAGTTTCTTGGTTTAATAATTCCACTAATATAATGATTATAAGGAGATATTCAATATAGAAAACTCTGCAATAGAGAAGTAGGAGCTCCACCCCGCACAAAAACCACAACAAAGATCAGCTGTGTGTAAGTCTTTGGTCTGAGATCCTTATACAAATCAGTTTAAAATCAGTTTTCGCCTAAAATGACGTGGGATCTGTGAGGAATAACCTCAGAAGTCAAATAAAACTCTCCTTAGTCAGGTCTCCTTTAACTGTTCCTACGGCCTTGTGCTGTGGATGGCAGGTGGAAACAGCTCCAGGATGTCATAGACAGGATAATCATTCAAAAGATAACATTTCTAAGAAATACCGTTAATATCCAGAGGAATGGCATCAGATCTAGAAGCTTCCGTGTGCTCAGCCGCTTAGGAGGTACCGGAAACCTCTTTAAATTCTAGTGACATCATATATACAACTCCTAATTACCTGCATCTTCCTCTTCCTGTTCCAGGTGGAGCTGGTTGGGATGTCCTACATTGGTCTGAAGGCTGTAGTGGACTTCCTGTACAGCGGGGAGCTGTTGCTGGACGGGGGGAACATTGAGTCTGTGCTGGAGGCGGCCCACCTCCTGCAGGTAACCAACGGGACACTTCCTGTGAAACACATCATGTACATTGCAGGAGAGTTAGGGTGCATCACATTAAATGACAGTATGTATGAAAAACAGGTTTCTGCTCAGTTGTAGTCCAAACTACTGCAGTATTGTATTAAAAGGTCACTAGACACAAGTGAAGCGTATAAAGTGTTGAATACTAATAATCATTCCAGAGGGAGAATAGGTTCATCATATTCTTTTAATTGGCATTTATTCATGCAATAATCTTTTTAGTTGGGTTGAGTATTTAAAATCATTTATAATGATTAATAATTATAATAGATCTATTTGACTGTGTAATATAAGTAAAATGCCAACTGTTTATACCTGTTACCGTGACAATATTCTTTAAGTGCTAATATGCCACTTATTTGTATTTCAATTGCACACCCTGTGTCACCTTGAGTTTGGAGGAAAATGTTCCTGCCCGACTGCAGGCTGAACAAAGGTTCCATACACAGAGAACAGTCTTGATGCATTCAATGTGAATGAGGGCAGGGTTAACAACAGCAACACTACTTCAACAATCTGTTTACCAAATGTCATTCAAAACCTGGAAAAGTCATGGAAATTCAAAAGGCTAATTCCAGGCCCTGGAAAAGTTATGGAAAACAATATTTTCCCCAAAGTTTTGGAAAAGTCATGGAAATTTAACTAAAGTTGCATCAAATATAATTTATATTTGATCTAATCGCCGAAATAGTAATACTATAATGATAATAAATACTGTATTGTATAGTAATGAAACGTAAAATGGCATTTAACTGACGAGGTGTTTTGCAGGTGAGAGATTTAAGTTGCTTTAGCGTGTAGAAGCTAGTAAGCACAACATGTTTCATATGCAGACCTTATTTTCCTGTTCCATGTTCAAATAAACTATTTTCAGGGGCACCGCTCAGAAAGAGTAATGTTTTGGTCATGGAAAATTAGGTAAAGGTCATGGAAAAGTCATTGGTGAAAAAGTGTATGAACCCTGATACTACAGTAGGTGAGTGAATGATATCTTGTATAATGTTTGTTATGGGCTGATGTCTCCCCCCTCAATAGAATGAGTTGTCTTAATAGAGGAAGAAGTAGGACATTTGGAAGAAGACCTGTTTGTAAGTAGCCATAGTGTGTTATAAAGCTTAGTCATTGTTTACACAGTGCATATATCCTTCAAATAGAGTGAAACCCTCAAAAGTAAATCAAAGAACAGCATATGTCATTATGATGGAAATGAAACTCTGATCACTAAATCTGCTGGTTGGTCCAGGTGTCGCGGGTGGTGGATCTGTGCTGCCAGTACCTGGAGGGGGGGCTGAGTGAGGACAACTTCCTGTTCCTGCAGCAGCTGGCCCTGCTGTACAGCCTGGAGCGCCTGGACTCCTGCGTGGACCGCTTCGTCCTCACACACTTCGCCTCGCTGTCCTTCACCCCCGACTTCCTGCATCACATTCCTCTACACAAACTCTCAGCGTACCTCTCCAGCGGACAGGTACATACACTGCTCAGGGGTGAGGAAATACGTGCTGCAACATTTCTTTATCAATATATTCCAACCTTTATTCACTCTGTAAGAATAAAATGATTTAAATTCAAATACATTTTTTTTTCTTGTAGATTTTCACATACAAGGAATTAGCTTTAGTGTACTGGTGCATATTATAAACATAGTAAGATCAATTCAAAGTTAAAGCAAATAAAATAAAGAGACCTAAATGTATGATGGTAAAGTTATCATTACTAGTACTTGGGTGTTAATGCAGCTGTGCAGAATGTTGTATCTTTTAACCATCATTAAGCCAAACACATAACTATAGTCAAACAATTCCTCAATCATTCATTACACACTTCTGCTACAAATACATTGTTATTCATAGCAAATGTAAGTCCTTCAGTTGTATTGTTATCTAGTATTTAGTATGTTAAATTACAAAATAAATTCTATAACGTGTATGAAGAGTGTTTTTGTTTTTAAAGTGAAGAGGAAATGTGTTCAGCACTGAATCAGTTTTTCACTTTCATCATTATTCCTTCCCTTGATTCAAATCATTAAGATGACACTCACAACAGTGAGACAAGACCCTCAGCCTCCCATCCTCACCCCCAACCTCCCAGCCTATCCATGTACCTTGCCAAGCTTACACTGTGTGCACAATTATTAGGCAAGTCGTATTTTTGAGGATTATTTTAATTATTGAACTTAGTGCTCTGTTTCAATCCAAAATGTTAATAAACTTAAAACCTGAAAATATAAGAAAGTCAAAGTGAGGTTTTGGCTTTCTTAGGAGAATATCTTTTTACATGAAATTACATTACATGTCATGTCACTTGTTAGACGCTTGTGTGCACAATTATTATGCAACTAAAGGAACAACGGAAATGATCCCATCTCACATGTTTATTTTCACTTGTTAAAGTGAGAATAGTAAACAAACAACTCTGTGTTCCTTTAACGTAAATCTCCCTTTTAAGAAGGGCCCATAAGTTCTCTATAGAGTTTAGGTCAGATGAGGAAGGGGGCTGTGTCATTATTCTTTCATCTGTTTGGGAGTTGATTTAGAGTCTTCAACCTGAAAAGGTCCAACTAGCTCCTCTTTAATAATACCAGCCCATACCAGAACCCACCTCCATCTTGCTGGCGTCTGAGTGGAAGTGGAGCTCTGGACCCGGTACTGATCCATCCATCTGCTCCGCCCAGAGTCACTCTCATCTCATCAGTCTAGAAAACCTGTGACTATCTGTCTTCAGATATGTCTTGGCCCAGTCTTGATCTCATGTGCCTTGTTCAGTGGGGGTTTCAGCCTCCCTCACCTTGGCCATGTCTCTGAACACCTGGTTCTTCTGGGCCCTCAGGCAGGTCACAGTTCTGGAGTATGACCGCACTGGAGGATAATGGCTTCCTGGTAGCTTCACGTTCGATTCTTCTCAGATCTGTGGCACTTAATTTGCTTCTTTTTCCCTCAATATGTGTCTTGCAGCCCTGTTGACTATTAAAACAATTTGCTTTTCAAAAGTCAGGTAAATCTATTTTTTGGCCCATTTTGTCTGAGGAAAAGAAGCTGCCTAATAATTCTGCACACCTTCATGTAGGGTGTTGATCTCCTAAGGCCACACCCTCCCTCATTACACAAATACACATCACCTGATATCCTTAAATCCAATGCACATTCCAGTTCATACAGCTAAGAGTTGGAAAATATGCATGAAAATGATGATATGATCAAAATGCTCTCTTTCATAATAATTGTGCACACAGTGTATGCCATGTCTATCTAAACCTCACCTCACACCTCACAGCCCACTACCATCTTTAATGCCAGCCAGGGAAGAAGAGAGAACATGTAGTAAACTCTTTGGATATTGACTGTACGTAGACATGATAAGCAGCTGCAGGTGAGATGGGATCCTGATCTTGTTTGTAGAAAATTCACTTCCTGTTCACCTCCACCCTCAGGTGCAGCATGACAGCGAGCAGGCGCTCCTGCAGGCCTCCCTGCGGTGGCTCAGCACCACTCCTGAGCGCACCCCCCACGCCAGGCAGCTCCTCTCCCACATCCGCTTCCCCCTGATGGCGGGGGGGGAGCTGGTGGAGCGGGTGGTGCCGGCGCTGAGGGCCCTGCTGACGGAGGAGAGCTGCCAGGCTCTGCTGCAGGAGGCTCTGGGATACCACGCTACGCCCAGCGCTCAACCACTGCTGCAGACAGGAAGCACCCTGCTGAGGGGGGGCGCGGAGCAGCTGCTGCTGATTGGAGGAGAGGTACAGATGGGTGGTGCCCAATCAGTTGATCACAACTTTGTTTTCAACGATGCATATGAAGCCATTTGCAGTGTTTTACCCTTTTTGATCCATTATTCATCCTCAAAGTGTACTAATTATCACTTTGATTAATATAGTGCCTATCATGACACCAAAGGATCCTTTACAATAGGGAGGGGGACGTAGGGGGGGGGACAAAAAGGACAACAGTAATACAAACATAGATGACAAAAAAGGAAGATAAATAAACATAAGGCTTGGTGCAAACATTTAAATGTGACCACCTGTAGTTTTTATTGTTATACTTCATGACTTACATATTGTTACGAACCCACTAGGGATGAGGAAGGTAACACACACCAGATGGCTTTGGTAAATAATTATACTTGGGTTTAATAGATAACGAAAAAGGTGTACAACAAATTGAGAGCAAAAAATAGCCTAAGCCAAACCAAGAAGCCAAAAGGGCGCAAGTTTACTGCTAATGACGGAAGGAGGACTCTAAAAGTGAGCTGAAATCACTACCAATCAACACTAACAAAATGAGGCTGCAGGAAAACACAGCTAAATGAGGGAAGCCAAACACTCTACACTAAACACGGACCACACGAGTCAAACACAGTCTAATAGCTCAAGTCTAACGTGTCCACGACACAAGAGCAAAAATGCGTGAGGCGTCTGATCGCAGCAGAGTAGTGATGTGTCGGTCGCGAACGAGCCGATTCTTTTGAACGGCTCTTTGATATGAACGAGGGGACCCGAGTCGTCTTGGTGAGAGCGTTCTTGTTATCGTTCAATCGTTTGTCCGCACCTCACTGCCTGCCAAAATCACTAGCCCTTTAAAAAGCTTGATTTTGTTCCCCAAAACGTATTCTGTGAGACCCACCCCGTACTCTGACTGTATCTATCTTCGACACGGAAACCCTGTCCTGCTCCTCCGCAGCTACTCGCGAGCAGTTGCACGTCGCTTGACCAATCAGAGGCCACACTCGGGCTCACAGGGCGGGGGGGGGCGAAGCTCCAATCAATGTTTAGGACAGAGAGTGAACACAGGTGTCAGCACTGTCGAAGGAGTGAGAGGGGTTGTGTCTTAACGGAATACACGAGAGAGAGAAGTCATGAACAAGTGGTAGCAGGACAGGTAGACAACGCGTGTTTTTCGGATGGAAAATGAGCCCAAACGCGAAAACGGCAGTTGGTGGCTGGAGGTCTACATTCTAAAAATACATTCACTGACATGATAATACTTGCCGCTCCACCTTTTGTCATGTTTACAATGCAGATTATTGACATTAGGTCTGACACATACAGTCAACTCATATATCACTGGTGATTATTTCGCAGATAAACCTAGTAAACCCCGCCCTTATAAAAAACGGGCTCTTTTGACGACTCTTTGAACCGGCTCTTTGAAAGGAACGGAGGCCATAGATCCGCTTTTTTTTTTCCCTTCCCAAAATTAGGCCCATAAAAAAAAATTCCCATCACTACAGCAGAGCTCCGAGTGACTAGCTGTCGCCCAGGCCTTTGTAGTTCATCCCCGGAAGGTGTCGCGGCTGGGATTGCACCGGGGGATTGGAGCGCGTCCGGGCCCCTCGGCATGCTCCAAGCAGTGGTCTCCGAGGCGGACGCAGGAAATGGTACCCCAAGTGACGTTTGGGGCAACTACACAGCTCAGTTACATATGGAAGCAGCAAAACCATTACAGGAACCGGAGACAGGCCGTCAGCACATATCTAATAATCATTAAAGGAGTGCCTAGTTTTCATACAACATGTGAAAAAACTCCAGCCCGCCAGAGCTTTAATACAAGAGAGGACCAATGCAGCTTTTCCGAATCAACAGATCACAGATGCATGGCTTATTTTGTATTATTCTATTTTGTACGTTTATAAAATGTTTGTTCTCAAAGCTCTAAAGAATCCTGAGTCAGATTTCATACATAAAATATCAGATAGCATTGTATATACGCGCGCTTTCATGAATCTCCAAGGACGACAAAGCGCATTGGTAAATAAACATCTGACTTGATTTGGGGCCTTGACTGACTAAAGAATTAAATGCCCTGAATTCGATTTGGAAAAATATTCAAAATAAGATGTAAGTCTTAAGCTTTTGTCCATGGATATCTCTTTTTGAACCCCCAATAAAGAGCAAATAAGATTTCAAGGCAGCCAGGCCTGTGCTCCGGGCACACCCTAGTCTTTCCTTTAAGGGGAAGCCTATCGATTGCAAAATGCACCTTTGTACGTTCTCTTATAACATGAATATGTGTCCCCGGTGTCCAGGGAACTCACCAAAGTGTCAGAAAACCAGCCAACCCTCTCTATTTCCTCCTTAGGCCAAATCTCTAAAAAAGGGGGCTGCAGCGGATCTAACAAAAACGGATCCAGATTTCAACACTTTCTACCTCAAACCAAAGAGGTGGCTCCGCTTATTAGTCAACTCTCCACCTACATAAACAGGGGAATCGACCACGGTCCGTGTGCCAAATCCTCTCATTTCGGCATATATGTAGGACGATTTCTTTGCCATTTTGGCCTTNTGCGCTGGGGTTGCATGGGGATTGGAGCACGTCGGCACGTCGGCGTGCTCCAATCAGTGTCTTCGGAGGCGGACCAGGACATGGTAGCCAATGACGTTGGGGCAACTACACAGCTCATTTACATATGGAAGAGCAAAACAGAATTAACAGGACCGGAGAGGCGACGGCAGTCACAATAACATACAAAAGCAAAGTAAATTTATTAAATCACTTGAGATGCTAATTAATGCACGTTTCAATCCACTTCTGTTATGTGACTGTTTTCCAAGTTTTGGGATTACTTTTTGCCAATAAATCACCACAAAGGAAGAAGACACAGCAAAATGACATAATTGAAAAGGCTCAAACTAAAGAAAATCATGTTGAAAACCTGATGCAAAATTCTGTGTCTTCATGTATCCTACCTCCAGTTTTTTGCATTTGGCTGAATGTCCTCCTGCCATCTGTAAGTCAAACAGGGGTCCTCACATGTCGGTACATTTGAATCGGTTAAGATGCTTTATTTGAAGGGGACCCATTATGCAAAATACACTTTGTGATGTCTTTTATACATAATGATATGTCCCCGGTGTGTCAGGGAACTCACAAAGTGTCAGAAAATAAAACCCTCTCTCTTTTCCTCCGTATCCACATCTAAAAAAACAAATGGGGGTGCTAACAAGCAGGTCCAGAATTATGGCTCTTATTACGTCATTGGCGACATCCGGCACACGTAACACGTCCCAACCTATCGTCTCCGGCACACATGACACGTCCCAACCAAGCGGCAAACTCTGGGGCAGAGCCGGGAGGCCAATAAGGAAGTGCCACAAACTGCAGTTCATCTATTGGCCGATAGGCGATGACTGCAGAAAGGATCAATTTCCATAGACCCCCATGTTAAAATGCCCAACTTTACAGCAGACATGTTTCTACCCCTGGATGCAATAAAAAATATTCTGGATATAGTTAGATTCCACCTTCATGATTATGAATTGGTGAGTGAATTGTTTTATAATGCGACCCTTTTATTTATATTAGGTCTTAAAGTTTTTGCATAAATTAGGGCGTGGTCACCTTGATGGACAGGCACATGCCTCACTGGCAGCTAACAGCAACTTGTCCACTCTGCTAGGCTTCAATGTTAGCTAGTTGTAGTCACTGTACTTGATATATATATACACAGTTTAGTTTATGATTCAGTCTT